AATAAGATTATAAGAACATGTACCTTGTAAAGAACATGATTCGTAAGCCATTTTCAGCTTCAGGTTTGGAAGTTCAGTTGAGGCTCAAACTCTACACGAAATGAAAAAGAGAAGATTTATAAGTAAACTTGAATTCTTAAATGTAAAACCATATAAGAATAAACATACATACCTCTTTGAAGCTCATCCTGCAATTCAATTTCAGCTATCAGTTGGTGATTAGAGACCACAGTCTTTTCATTGATCCGAATCTCACACTTAAGCCATTGTTCTGTGCACATGAGGACCTCAATCATGTAGTGAGTCAAGCAACTTCTGGATGGCTCAAGGATTCGATTACTAGTACTAAAGGCAGACTCTGATGCAACAGAAGAGACTTGCATTGCTAGAATATCTTTAGCTATGGCAGCTAAGATCGGATACTTTGAACTGTTGTTCCTCCACCAAGCTACAACATCGAATGGAATTCCTAGAGGATTGGGTTTAGGATTCTCTACTTTCTCCTTCAAGTATAGCTCTAACTCAGTGCTTGCATCCTGGAAACCCAACTCGTCCACCAATTCCTTGTACACAGAATCCATTCTTTCATATCCAAACTCATTTTCAAAAGAATCAGCAGCAACTCCATCTTGTGACTCTTGACCCCTCTGACTCTGAGACAGAGAATGAGACTGAGAAGATGAAGCAATAACCGGATCAGTAACTGAGCCCTTGTACTCCTCATATAGTCTTTCCATCAGACTAGTGACTGAGTCGTTGAGCACCCAAGACTGTGGACTATCTTTCCCATAAAGCTTATCAAAGCAAAGAGCAGCAAACTTCATCTTATTCCTCGGATCAAATACACTTGCAACAATCAACAGCTTGTTAATGTCTCTAAGACCATCCCAATACTTATTAAACTTTCCTCTCATAACCATAGCCTTTGTCCTAAGCTTCTGATCCGGACTAGCACTCAATGTAATCAGATTACGTTCAATGGTAACTATCTCATTGTAACACTTGTAGGAACTAGGCGAGTTTGATGCAGAGACAACTAAAGTGGAGTTGTAGAATATTACCAGGAACTTGACCAAACCCTCGATCTTATCCCAATCCTCTGAAGTTGGTGGTCCAACTCTCTTCTTGCCATCCACAGTCTCTTGAAAGTAATCATTGTAAAGCTTGTCTTCAATTTCAATTCTGTCAAACCCTGCCCGAAACTTCAAAGCTCTTGATAACATAAGGTACGTAGAATTCCATCGTGTCTTGCAGTCCAAAGTCAAGCTACCTCTTGTTATTCTTGCTGACTCAACCTTCTGATCAAAAGACTCAACCCTCTTAGTAGAAGCTCTGATATACTGTATGGCATTCTTGATAGCAGTAACACTCGCATCCACCTCTAGCAAACCATCTCGCACAACCAAGTTGATGATGTGAGCACAACAACGAAGATGCAGACACTCACCTCCCAATACCAAGTACTCAGGTCCCAGAGCGTTGTATGCATCCGTAAACAGCTTCAGAGCATTGGTGTTTGCAGTGGCATTGTCCACCGTAATGGTAAACACCTTAGTGATTCCCCATTCAGCCATACACTGAAGCAAGACAGAGCAGATCGTTGTCCCTTTATGGTCTGCTACATTCTTGAAACCAATGATCAACTTCCGAAGTTTCCAGCTCAAGTCAATGAAGTGTGCTGTGATTACCATGTAGCTAGATGCTGTAATCGGTGCAACCCAAATGTCTGTAGTTAAAGAAACCCTCTGCTTGTTGCCACTGATCAGCTGCATCAAATCTGATTTCCTCTCTGCATACAACTCCACGATGTCTCTTGTTGCTGTTCTTCGTGAATGTGGCTTTGGAAGATTAACCCTGTTGCAGAAGTGCCTCCATCCCAAACCATCAACAAATGATAGTGGCAGCTCGGCTATGACAAGCATCTCATTCGTAGCTTGCCTTGTGACTTCATTGGAAACCCTTGCAAGCTTCAAACCACCACTATCATCATCGTCTTCGTTACCAGCGATAGTATGCTGAGTCTGAGTTTGCGTTTGTAGCCATGTCTGGTGTTCCTTGCAGATTCCTAGATGTTTCTTCAGACAAGAAGTGCCATTGGAGGTCGCACAACACATAACTCTACCACAGTAGTTGCAGGTGCATTTGTTCCTATTCTCCCTCACTCTTGTGTAGTGATCCCAAACCTTTGACCTCGTACTTGTATACTTCTTCTTCTTCTTAATAGGTGAAGCTGACTTGCTCTTCCTTTTGTTTCCACTTGCAGTAGCTGGACTATTTGTCCCAAACTCCTCTTCGTTACCATGAGTTTCATCATCATCTCTGGAAACTTCTTTTTGAGGTGATGAAGAATCCATCTGCAAAAAAAACCTGAGAATGAGAACTCAACTATACAATCACGATCATAAAACATCATTATATTGATTACAGATACAAATCCGAGAAGCTTCAAGTTCAAATCATTTGATTTGTTTCATTACAGAACACAAAACAAGGTTCTTTTCACAACTATACAAACACGATCACAATTCACAACTTGTCTATCTCTTTATCTCAAGTTCAAATGATTTGATTCACAAGTCCCTAAAACAGAATACATAACACACTATCTATTTATCTCAAGTCTCAAAACATCACACGCAACAGCTAAATTGATGATAGAAAACCAATTAGAGAAGCAATGAGATGAAATCATATACCTTCGATTGAATCCTCGAAGAAGCTGATCGAGGATCTGTATGAGTAAGAGAGGGAGATGAACTTTCTCGGTGATGTTGTGATTCTTGTGAAGCAGAACGATGGACGGACATCATCTTTAAAGGCAAGGATTCAAGTCGCACTCGAAATCGCAAACGTCGTCTAGGGGATTCTAGGGTTCGACCGTTCGAGAGGAGAGAAAGTGACGATTACTGAGATAAGCATGCTTAAGAAACTAATTGTATGCTTTGATATAAGTGCTCGGGTTATCCAGTCGGAACCGGGTTTTTTAACCGATCCGAACCGGAATCCGATTTACATAAATTCAAAAACCGATCGGGTTATTAGCTATAACCGAAACCATAAATTATCGGGTTATACGGGTCGGGTCGGGTCGGGTTTGGCGGATCCGGATTATATGCCCACACCTAGTTATCATAGCTATCCAGACCTCGGAAAATCCCATTCTTCTCATGGTGGCCTCAATGAAGGACCATTCCATCCTATCATATGCCTTACTCATATCTGTTTTGATGGCCATCCTCTTATTTCGTCCACTTGGTTTTGTTCTTAGGGCATGGAACATCTCTTGAGCTATCATAATGTTGTCAGATATCTGTCTCCCAGCAACAAAGGCTGACTGGGTCTCTGAGATTAAGTTTGGGAGAAACTTTTTTAACCTCTGGCATAAGACCTTTGAGATAATCTTATAGCTGACGTTGCATAAGCTAATAGGGCGTAACTGACTCATCTGGTTCGGCTTGTCTACATTTGGGATAAGGAAAATATTGGTATCATTTAATCCAGATGGCACTACTCCCTCAAATAGGAATTGGTTAACCATACGAGTTAAGTCATCCTTGACAATATCCCAGAATTTTTGGTAAAACAGCGCTGTCATACCATCTGGGCCTGGGGCTTTCTCTGGGTGCATCGCGAAAAGAGCCAACTTGACTTCCCATTCAGTAACCGGAGCTGTTAAGGCCTCATTATCTGTTAGGGTAATTGTGGTTGATATTTCAGAGAGGGCCTCCTCTATTGCCTCTGGATTTGATGATTGAAAGATGTGTCTGAAGTAATTTGTAGCAATGGCTACCAATCCTTCCTCGTCCTCCACAACATTTCCATCTTCATCCATTAACTGGGTAATTCGATTCCTAGCTCGCCTTTGTTTTGTAAGGGCGTGAAAGAATTTAGTAATCCTATCCCCTTCTCTCAGCCAGAAAACCCTGCACTTTTGCTTCCAGAATAACTCTTCCGCCTTAAGAGCAGCATATAACTCCTTAATAGCTGCTGCAATCTCCTCAGAAGTAGCATCATCATTTGAAGATAAGCGATCCACCTTCTCCTTAAGCTCCTCCACTGTCTTCTCTGAATTCATATTATGCTGCTTTTTCCATTCACTCAATGCTCTCCGGCAACTCGTAATATGCTCCGTAATACTTGCTCCTGGTGGGAGATCTGGTGACTTCAAACCTTCAAGTATATTTTGTCTGAGCTCGTCGTTGTCCAACCATCTCTTATCGAATTTGAAATTCCGATTTCTCCTCGGCTTCTTTCTGAGGATATCAGCTAGTATCGGATGATGATCCGACCCCCAGAGTCTCATATACTGGACTTTAGAGTGAAGGAATTTTTCATGCCAGTTCTCATTCCCCACAGTCCTATCAAGGCGGCATCTAACTGTCGTTCTCCCTGCTCTGTTTCCCACCCAAGATAACATATTCCCTGTGAAAGGAAACTCCAGCATACCACAATCACTTAACATTTGTCGAAAAGGCAAGAAGGAGCTATCAGAACGTAGTCTGCCTCCTTCCTTCTCGGCATGGCAGGTAATTTCATTAAAGTCCCCTATCATGAAACAAGGTCCATCTCTTGTTGTTGAGAAACGCGTAAGACGTTCCCAAACTAAATCTCTTCTTTCAGTGACATGATCCCCATAAACAAATGTCATGTAGACTTTTATTCCATCAATGATTGCCTCAATGTCAATCATTCTGTTATTTGAAAATAAAACATTAACTTGAAATTCATCCATAAAAAATAAAGCTAAACCACCGCTGAGACCAAGTGGCTCAACGGTAAACAAACGATCAAATCCTAAGTCGGCCTGAATGTCTTGCAACAGCAACCTTCTGTTCTTCGTCTCAGATAGAAACACAAGTCCTGGGCGATGTTTCTGACACATCTCTGTAAGGCGTCGAACTGTGAGGTCGCTTCCAATCCCTCGACAGTTCCAACTGAGTGTCCTCATGGATTAGGGTGGGATGAGTTTTTGGAACCCATTGAAACCTCATGTGATGTAGTCACGTCTCGAATCCTAAGTGGCCCTTGCCTAGGGTGCTGTCTAGAACCTCCAGCTTCCCTGGAGCTGGACTTTGATCGTTTACTTGGAGATCCCCTACTGAGGAACTCAAACTTCTTGGACTGAACGCTCAAAGGGACATTAAACCCTCCACCATGGTGTCTACTGCGAACAGATGTGCTTCCTGCTTTTACTTCCCTATTCTCAGTGCGTTCCGGTTGTGAACCGGTGTTAGTTTCCTCAGCCTCCCTTAACTCCTCACCGAGAAGATCATCGTCATTAAGCACTTCGTCGGTATGTTCCACCTCCATCATGTCAACGCCCTGATCCAAATTATCCATATCATTAAGAGCTCCAATCATTTGATCACCTCCATCTAGATCCTGGCCAACATCTTGTGAGAAACATAAAGACTTAGTAACCCCCTTATCCCTGGTTGTTACATATCTCTTCAAAATTGATTCATCAGCTGTTGGCGTGACAATTTTACTCGCCAAGCGTTTGTTGGTGGGCGCAATACCAGTATGAGTACTCTTGCGCGAAGAATCCTCCTCATCAGTGGTGAGGGAGACGTGAGATTCAGGTACCGAAGCGTGATCAACAACTCCACCTATGGAGTTATGCTGTCGTGATACATGTGTCTGGTGCTTGGCCGTATGTTGAACCGCAGACGAACTAAGATCGCCATCAGTAACATTCGCTTTAAACTTCCAATGTTGTTCACTTCTCCGGTCACTTCTCCGGTCATAGGGACCTGAAGAGTATCGCGATCTGCCATTAGACGAGCCATTGTATCTATCATGACGTCTCATTACTCTGTATGAACGCCCCTGCCCACGACTATGCTCAACCACAGGCTGGTATCGCACTTGTCGGTCTTGTCCGGAGGGAAAAGAGAGCCTACGGCGGGAGGGACTGTGCGCACTGCGAGAGTCAGGCTGACGGATCAAGCGTGTGCTTGAAGAGCTTATCATACGTTATTGTAATGGTGAAGTCCTCACCCTCCGACGTTTGCACTTTCCTTGAGAATTTCAGTGGCTTACGGGAATCTATTTCTATGAGCATACGGCCCTCAGATAACTCCAATGTGTCCACATAGCCAAGCCTATCTCCGACTTCACGTAAGTTTCGATCAGTCCATAAGTGTAGTGGGAAACCAGCAATCTGGACCCAAAATGGGATTACCCATGGATAATCATCATGAACAACCGGTGACCATCGAACCAATACGAACATGCAGAAGTTGTAATGGAAAGGACCCTGTCGAAGAACAAAGTTTAAGTCCTCCTCAGAGGTAAAGTTCAAGAGGAACTTTCCATTCCCCAGATCATTGACAATGATTTTATCTTCCATTCCCCACTGTCCAGGCATTGTTTGAATAAGCTTCTCGACCTTTTGTTTTCGAGGGTTGAGTATCTTGCCAATCAATGAAAGGCGGAAGTCTTTGATCACATTAGCATCCTCATGAACCGTGAGCCTGATGGGCTCGTCATCGTCATCATCGAGTATACGCTTTCCTCTGCGATCTCCTTGATACGCCGATGGATATCTAGTCAAAGCCATAACTTACGTAGATACCCGAAGTTGCAGAGATGAATACAATCAATACACCAGAACAACGATCCGTGGTTATATTGTTGCGTCTTGGATTTCTTACGTGTAAAAGACATAAACAAACCGCCGATCTAGAGAGGCGTTATAGATCAGAGCCGCCGTTCTCGTGACCAAAAGAAAAAAATCAGGATCGCTGGATACAAAGATATCGCAGTGTCCTTATCGAGTAATGACGATATCCTCTCCACAGAAAACAAAAGCCACCGTGTCTGTGCCGCCGTAACGTAACAGAGATCAAGAGAGTAGATCCTGGAACTTTGCCGGATGTCGTTGTGAAGAAAGGATCAACACGGGATCAATCCAGAGAGTCACGCCAGTGACAGAAACAACAAAGGTCGATCCGTTTGCGAAGGTTTAAGAACCGTCAGCCAACAAAGATTAGCCAACAGAGATCAGCCGATCCCTTACGTGATCCACCGCCAACAAAGGATGTCGATCGAAGCTTCAATCTCTCGTGGGTGGTCTTGCACTCCTTGTCGCCTTCTCCATCGCCGTCAGAGGATTAGAGTTTTTTATTATATTGGTACATTCAATTATTAATAGAGTTATAGGTGTTGTTGCTCTTTTGACCTTACATGTCTATTTTTACCTAAACAATTACAATCGTGACAAATAAAACGCGAACAAACTGCCAGTGCCAAATACGATCTAAACTACGTTATAATTAAAAAAATTATCTAAAATTTTTAAAATGTGCCTAAGCTTACATTGACCGTAACAGAAGTTAGTCAACCGTTTAAATGATAAAACGACGTCGTTTTAATATCATTATTTTTTTTTTAAAATATCCTCATTCCAAGACTCGAACCCGTGCCTTGTCACTCTTTAAAAGAGACACATTAACCACTAGACTAAAGCATTTTAAAAAAATAATACTACAAATCTGTAATTATATATGCTATTATACTTTTTCATCTTCTCTAATTAAAACTTTGGTTATTATTATTTTTGATTCTTATAAATATATTAACATGTTTTTAATTATTATATCTTTAATAAAATTATATTATACCAAAATAATAAAATATTTATAATTATACAAAATTAAATATATTTCATGTTTGCAACTATTCACAAAATGTCCATATATAAATTATTTTAAAAATTTAAAACTTGAATGGTAATTTATTTTACTTTGGAAAAGTAGATTCAACTTGTATCAATTTTGACAAACAAAAGAAATTCAATTTTTAAAATTTTTAAATAATTTATATATGGACATTTTGTAAATAGTTGCAAAACATGAAATATTTTAATTTTGTATAATTATAAATATTTTAGTATTTATAAGTTTATTAAATATGTTAATATATTTATAAGAATCAAAAATAATAATAACCAAAGTTTTAATTAGAGAAAATGAAAAGTATAGAAGCATATATAAATGTAAATTTGTCGTATTATTTAATTTGCGTTAGTATAATGGTTGGTATGTCTGTTTTAAGGAGTGATAAGTTATGGGTTCTAGTCTTGAGATGTGCATATTTTGTAAGAAAATAATGAAATCAAAACGATATTGTTTTATCATTTAACAGTTGACTAACTTCTGTTACGATCAATGTAGGTTTAGACACGTTTTAAAAAGTTCATGTAATTTTTTGTTTAATTATAACGTAGTTCAGATCGTATTTGGCACTGGCAGTTTGTTCGGATTAGCACGAGTGAAATTGTTTGGGTAAAAATATGCACTTTTCCCCCTAGTTGGCCTCAGCGTGTTGATTAACAAATATTCCTATCGTATTACTTTTAACTTCTAGTTCAGTCCTCCATTAACACTTATTCCCAATCTCTTGTTTTATTTACAAAAATCTTTACTATTAAACGAAAAGTAGTCTTAAAAAATCTATTTATATAAGATTAGTATACCTTTTCATTTAACTAATGATACATTGATCTACCTATATATTTCGCCTACTATTTTCTCACCATATATTATTTTAACAATAATTTATTTTCTTAACCATAACAATTTAATTATATATTAATAATTATTTAATTATCTTTGTGAAACTAAATTAAAAAGGTTATGTAAGGAAATTTCTCTTTATTTTTATTTATTACACTATTTAATCAACTATGGATATATATATATATATATATATATATATATATATATATATATATATATATATATATATATCTTTAACATACGGGATCCATGCTGATATGATTCCAGATCTGTTCGTATATATTAGATTTATTACGTTGATCATAAAATTATTATATTAAATTTATTAAATTGGTACTTACATGTCATAGATCATTTACCCTCCCTCTAACACGTTATATATATTAGATAACATAGTTGTTTTATATTCATAGTTATATATGTTATGAACCAATTAGTGGATGGACCATAACCATATTATTTAGAACCAGTCTGTGTAGTCCATTTGACGGTTTAGACTTAATCTTTTCCATGTTATAAGTAATATACACACTAATTCTTTTATTCTCTCACAGTTTACAACAATATAAGTGTTTTAATTACTGGTATTTTTATACGTGAACCCTGTATAATGTTTTCAACGTGTATAAATAGTATACAATTCTTCTAACACATCAAGATGTATGTATGGATATCTTTTATATTATACACAATAGTATAAATGTTCTTTATTAAAACCTATTATTGTTTATTGTATTTTAGTTATTATTAGAACTTACAACCTATAACTTTTTAAATATGTACATACATTTGGGATTTTATGAAATACATAAAAAAGTAGTTTTATAAAATTCATATAAAAATAATGAGAGAGTAGGTTTGGCCATTAAGATTTTCGGACCAGATACTAATCGGTTCCTTTCGGGTCTTGGTTCTTCTGAGTTCTAAACATGTGGATATAAGTAGGTTTTTAAAAGTTTTAGTTCGTGTTCAGGTCTGTTTTTTAGGGTTCATGTTGGCTTATACCAAAAGACTCCAAATTTTACATGAATCTGACCCAAGAAACCAAAAAGTTCCCAATATAGTTTTCCGATTATCAGAAATATTACTTTAAGAAATTGAAATTTTACCCGAAACCAAAAAATATAATTGAAAACAAGAACCCAAAACTTAAAAAAAAAAATTTGTAATCCCGAAAACATATTTGAGATACCCAGAAAACATAATATACACAAAATTTCAGATACTTTGGGTATTCGATCGGGTCTCGAGAAGGACATGAATTTAAATAGAGACATGCATGTCCAAAATAATCTGATATATACGTAGGCTTGACCCATACCCAAATCACACAAACCATAATGATAGCTTTCAAAATTTTTAAAAATCTAATATATTTTCGGGTTGATTTCGGTTTCCCAGGTTTAGTAAAATGTTCAGGTTTAAGAATCTATTATCTAAGAGTTTACATACAAAAATATTAAATAATCATAGATTACATCATTTTAAACAAACTTTCGTTAAGATATTACAACAATTCTAAAATACCAATTCACAAACATTGTTTACAATCCAAAAAACCCGTTGATTATAGATTTTTGGATGTTAACGAATTTTGAATTAATAAGTTTTCACTAAATATGAATTTTGTAGAAAAACATCAGTTGGTAGAACCTCTGATAGAATACTACATGAAAATATAAATCAGTCTTAATTATATATGGTCAATGGGTCTATCGCTACGACCGCAAGTCCATGCTAAATATAAAAATACTGCTTATATGTTTATTCGTCTATAAATCACATATTTACCCACTAAAAAGAGTTAAACAATTAGTAAAACTAGAATGTTTTTTTTTGCTATGCACCATTAGTGTTCAACATTCGGTTTTTGTTGAGTATTTTGGTTTTAACATTTTGGTTATGAAATTTAGAAACCGTTCATGTATTTACAAAGTTTAATTTAGTTTCAGTTGGGTTATTTTAACTTTTATTTGGGTTAGTTACAAATTTTGGAATCAGCTAATTTATTTTACAAAATTGGATACAATTCAGTTATGGCTCAATTCTGATTTAGGGTAATTATAGATTTATAGATAAAAATATGAGATAATTTAAATTTTTGAGTTTAAATATCGGGTAATGTGGGTTCTTCAGGTAAAAAAATCGGATAATTCAGATAAATTTTAGCATTTTAAATAAAAATATTTGGGTAATTCGGTTTTTAGATGCTTCAGTTTATAAATAATGTTTTAAAATATTTGGGTATTTAGAAATTAAATATAATTAAAATAATTAAATATAATTAAT